TTATTATGTTTTGCTTAGACAGTTTGAATATATTATTATGTGAAGGGTGTGTAGTCTCTTTCTTTTTTCTTCTTTTTTAATTTAAAATCAATAGCAATCAACAAACACATTCCTAATTGATATAGATAGGACCCGAACGAATATGATATAATTTTAATGTTTATATCCTATCAATTATTCATATAACTAGTATGGTTATAGAGCTATTGAAAAGATAAGATTTAAGTTTGTATAATTAAATAGATTATTTATGTAGGTAACAAAACAAATTTTTTGCCAAAAAAATAATTTACGAGTGTAATTGRTTATCATCAAGCCTGGTAACTATAAGCGCCCTCAATGCCCCATAACATTACAAAAATGCCAACATCGATGTATTTTATATATCATTTTATACGTAGGGCAAMATTTTATCTAGATAATTATTCGAATAAAAAATTTAAAAACAATATTATTCGAACAATATTTTACTCTACTAATTTTCAAAACGATTTATTTGAATAAAATATTATTCGATTAATTTTCGTTTACTTAATTGATAAGATAAAGTTTAAAGTACATTTGATAAAACTACGCTTTTCAAATTTAGATAATCGACATYATATAAGATTAAACAAGTAATTATTATAGGTATATGGGACATTTCCCATATAATATCTAAATGTCTTATCTATTTATACATTTTTGTATGGAGCTAAATATTAGTAGAATAATTGTATTCTAAGAATATTTATAGAATATTTTTTTATTCGAATAAAATTTTRTCCAAATAAAAAATTATTCGAATAATGCCCTACTCKGGTTATATACTAACTTAACCTATGTACTACAACAAATGGTCAATCGGTTAAACTATAGTATGTAAATTATTGTTAGCTACCAAACATAAACTGCCACTATATAATATGTATTCCACGTAAAATAAAACAAATATAATATATTRTATAAATATTTTTAAAAAAATTGAAGATTTGMCTCCAAATAATAAATAACCGCGTTTCTCAACCTTTTCATATCCTTGCAGTGTAGTTAGGTACCTACTTATCATAAACGTTGACAATTTTCACGTAAAATTGAAAAAAAAAATTAATGTCTCAATAAACTATGTTTTGTATTTTAAAAAATGTAATGTTTTCTTCAAAGTCGTGCGTATATATCACTGGTTTCGTACCGTCAATATTATACAGAACTATATCGCCATGYACTGTAAACTATTTATTAGTATCTACTAATACCTACTTAACATAATGGTATAACTATAAGCGCATATACCTATACTCAACAAATACTATCATATTATATCTTATATCATAGTTTAGTCCAACGTGTAGATGGAAACCGATTTAACCAATAAATACTTGCACGATACGTAGACAYCTGTACAAAAATTAAGAGTTTAACATTTTCACACACAACAATTTCTAATTATTTCCGTGACTTCAAAACGAAATATTATCTAATACTGTTACAGACACAAACTATTATTACTTCCTTCGTACGTACAAATATAATACTTATTAATAATAATATAATGTCTGTATACTAAATACTTATAWAGTTATATCAATACACTTGCATATAAAATTATATAAAATTATACGGGAGATGTTCTGATATATGTTCACCTAGTTGMAAAAACCGATTGCAAGTGTGGTCATTTTTCATTTTTACGGAAAAATACAAAACAAATTTAGGGCCGTTTGCTGTTTTATAAGAACCGAAAATAACACACAATTTGAACGTGTATTTTCGGAGATAAAGGTCAACAATAATATTTAACTGATGGCCTGCGTCTGTATATAATGCCTTCCAGTTCAATTAACTGTTATTATATTATAAGTACCTACCCGGTTGTGTGTATATTTAGGTACAGTATGTCACTTATGTCCAGTATCATTCAGTATAATATACCAGGCACCTCGTCCGAGGAAGTTTAATTTAATAATAAATGTGAATTTTTTTAACAGTTATCTATTTAAAAAGTTGCAAATTATTGGCGTGAACATTTAATTATTCGAACACTTTTCACTCGATTTAGGTGAATGTTTTGAAATGTTCATACTATAATAACTCTATTATTTCGATGATTGTTTTTCAATGACAATTTACAAAAATGATGAAAAAAATTGTGTTTTTAAAAATATAAATGCCGTTAAATTGTTTCTTTTCTTTATACCGATTACGTCTTATTGTTTATRTGAAACTCATTTATATGACGTATTGATTTGGCACGTAGCTTTTCCTTCATTACACGATAAGACTTTTGGGACACACTGTGCTACCCATTTATCCACATCGATACGGCAGAACGGTTATTTCATATCATTGCCATTTCAAAGGTAAAACGTTCGACCGTATGCTTGAGTTTTTTTTTTATTGACGTCTGTCGTTATGGTAGTAGTAATAATAATAATAATAATACATTTTATACCTATTACCCGCAGTATCCAATGTGGCAATGTGCACATGGGTTGTGTTGTGGGCAGTCTTCATATTTTGTAGGTACAATCAATATATAATATATATAATATATATAATATACACAGTCTCAGGTATACACATTATACTCTCGTTCACTCCAATGGTACACACACCCGCAACGTTAATCACGTTCAGACATAATATTTACGGGCGTACATGTGTACAATGTATGTTTACGTTGCATGATCGCGAATTTTTTTGTTTTACGATTTAATGGATTTTTTATTTGACCGGGTAACATAATATACGCATAACATGCTCGACCTTATTTGAATAATGACGAAGTTGGTAACTGCAGTGTACCTATACATAATATATTATTCTCTTTCACTCCGCCGTTGCAGTGATTAGTGCTCGATTGAACGTTTAATGGTATCGTACCATTCTATATTATATTTATCGTCCAGTGGCTTTTATTGTGATATGGTTATTATAATATTATATATCGTGAAATTATCCCGGTGATGAGGGTAGCTTTAGAGTAGTTGTTTGCAGCCGTTGCAATAAAAATGTGACTGGCTTAACGTTATAGGTTTCGATGTCTGCGCGCAGTATTGTACTCGTTATGGCGGTATAATGATAATATAAAGGTGTATAACAAACAAATATTATATTATAGGCGCCACTCACAAAATGATATGGACGAAATCACCTATATATTATTTACATAGTTATTAGCGTTTGCTAATTATTATTATTTTATGCATGTTGTGTGGGTTGTTTAAATGACTACAAATGATGGACCAATTAGAAGCTTGTATAATGATTATCGTGAGAAACGCCTATCGCACAATTTTTTCATTTTCAAATATTTCAGTACTAGSTATCGAAAGTAATAAATCGTCGAAAACAGTTAGCAATAATGTGTTTACATCGTGCAGTATTCGCGTGTAACTCAAGTGAACGTCTATTTTGTAAGCCATCTTTTACTTTTAATTAACATTGTTTATTTATGGGAAAATAAATCAAGTAGCGTACACTGTTGTTAATGGGTAAATTAWCATGTGTTCGTTTTTGTTTTACGTTTGTTTACACAAACATTATTATTAAGTGCTATCCGTATTGCAGTATACTTATAGCGAACAAAATATCCCCGGTGGRTGTGATGAGTAATGGCTATTATAGCGATATTTCCGGATATCCGCATTTACAGATAATACCTATATAAATATATACATATGTATATAATAATCATTGTAAACTTAAGCTTTTAATTTGAAATAATCACCCATCACTTAACACTAGCAGACGTGCAAATTATACGTATAAGCGTGAGCAGACTAATATTTTTTTCAAATAACGGTTAATAGTTAATTAAAAATAACTTTTCCATGACTCGGAATATTTTGCATGAATTGGGAATCATAATTTTCTATTAACTTGCATACATGTTAATAATAGATAGGTAAGTTACATTAAAGAAATACCAACATAATACATAGGTACATATGAAATACAATTTTCAACTTTTAGTTAATTTTTAATTATTTCAGACGAAGGATGATTCCTAAACGCWTCAATAATGTCTTTATTATTTTTTGTCTGATATGATAATTCATGGTATGTTAAAATCATCATMATCGCGTCTTATTTTACTTGTTTCACGCGATTTCTGAATTTAATTTCCACCATAGATTGGAAGTCATAGAAATATCGGAATTAAGGTCTAGAAAAATATAAACCCTAAACCATTTCATAAATCATAATCTATCTATATATATAAGAATCTAACTTGATTTTGGACACGAAGGAAACCGGTTTTGAACCCTCATAATATTAATAATAATTATTTTCATATATTCACCGATAATGACGTCTGTTTCTTTTTTTCTTTTGTTTGTTTGATTTATAAACATTGACCTATAACAATGTATAAAGCTAATAAAAAATAATAATGTTTCTAATACGCATGCGCGTTCCCTTATTTATTCAATCGATGAGATCGACATTTCCAACTCCAATCGATCAGTCGTTGAAGTGGTTGAATTCTAAATGTAGGATATATATAATTTTCAGAAATTAGCAATAACAATAACTACAATATGTAATTATATTATATTATTTGTWTAGCCAAAAAATATTCTTATGTTTTTAAATTAAATTATAAAAAAATAATTTCTTCCGGATACCTAGTAGCTTAATAAATAGGTAATTTAATTAATTGACATGATAAATAACATCTTCTTCTTTTCTTGTGTTTAGGCTTATATAAATAACATTTTTCCTGTGATAATATATTATTATGAAATTTATCCGTTTCTGATATCGTTACAAATGATCACTCAAGTATATTTTATTAGAACAAAATATACAAATGATTTTTAATTAAAACATTTTTAATAATTAACGATTAAGTTGTAGGCTAAGGAAAATTCTTGTCAAATGCCATAACACACACCTGTGCGTTCGCTTATAATTAGCTCACTATCACACCTGTGAATAATAATATTATGATTAATAAATCAATTTTATCGATAAAAAATGAAAAATGATCATGGCAATAATATAATGTTTTATAGATTTCTGTCGAGGCAGCGTATCTGTACGACGCGGTTCATTTGTATGCGAGATGCGTGCTGGAGATGATCGAGTGCGGTGATGATCCAAGGAATGGTTCAGCCATGATGGCCAAATTCAAAGGTTCGCACTACAAAAGTGCATTGGGGTAAGCATAACACGTTAAAAAGTAAAAATTATTAGTTTTGGTAAAGTTTGATAGGGGAAAAAAATCGCGTGCAAGATGTTTCTATATAATACGAAAACTATACAAGATACGTGCTTTTTAAAACTTCTGACCATCACAACGGGGCAGATATAAATATACTGAATATTTTTATTTATTCTCCACGGATGACATGTTTGAAAACATATTTCTAGTATTATTTTATTATCTATGACGAATAAATAATAATTCTCAATTTTATATTGTACAAAATGAAGTTTAATGATTGGGACCGTGAAAATACTTTTTTTTTTTAACACGCAACCACATAACATGTTATTTCTTTTTTTTTCGATATCTGATTGCATCTACTGCATATTTTTTCCTATGCGTTATTCAAAAGAAAACTGTCAAAAATTAAAATGTCATCCAGAAACAATAGTCGGTCAGAATTGCCCGTTCTATTTATACACTTARATGTTGTACGGTTTGACGGAATATGTTTTTCTRTTACCTAATATGTAAAAACAAATCATATTATAAACTTGCCTCAATTTTCGTTGCACGAACAGGTTTTTTTTTACGATTTATACTTCACACGAACGCGATAAGTAATTATTATGCTATCCGATTTAGTCATTGCAGGTTATAATAATAAAATCGTCATCGCGCTAAACCGAATCAGTGGCGTCGTGTGTGATCAATAACACATCGAATCTCATATACTATAAATATAGGTGGAATGGAAGTGGGCTGAATTTCTTACTCTCTTAACCACGCTCACATATTATATTAGTTATTATTATGTACTTAATATTATTATATAGATATATAAACCACGATAGCAAAATAATTTGTAAAGACGAAAATTACCGTCTATATGCGTAGAAATTTCCAGACTGCTTTTAAGTAACATGTTAGTGATATCAAATTGTGTGAATCCTCGTAGTAGGTATATGTAATACTCAACGCCCTCGGTTTTCATATCTACAAACAATTAAAGTGGCGATAATATTATATATTTCTATTTTAGTTTTTTAGGTGTTTCAAATAGTCTCATGAAAAAAAACTATCACTGTAAAATACGTTTCCGTTATTTAATTTTTAAAACTATAAAAACTATATTTTTAAACGTATTCCTTTCATGGTGCATATACTGTAAGATTTTTTAGGTTTTTTTTATTTTTATTTAGGGCRTTAAGATCTCTGCTATAGTTATTATGTATAATATTGTATATGATAAAATCTGGGCCTGACTGATATTAATATGTTTTTTTTWAAAACTWTTTTCTTGTTTATTTTGTGGACGACACTATTGTAACAGTGTTTCTTATCGAAGTAAAATTGTCAATATTGTAAATCTTGGATCTTGTGTTTAATATTGTTGAAATTGGCACGTACGTTTATCGTAAACGATGTACATATTATAGCAAATTCGTACATATACATTTCTTAGCTATAGTTAAGTTAGCTACAGTTTTTATCAGATTTTATAGTTGTTTTTTGCTGTTTATTATCGGTGAGATGGGCTGACAATAACCATTATAATTTTTTTTTTTTTGTAATAATAATGTTGCGTGCGTTTGGAATTTAGTTGGACCTTTTTTTCGTACCTTTATCACGTAAGTTCATCATGCAAGGTTGGCTCGCCATAAAATAAGAATAAATTAAATTAAAATATCATTGATCCAGCTAGTCGACTCACACCTTTTTGTTAAATTAACCTGAGTACAACCGTAGTTCACGGGTATTATTAACAGATAACAATAAATCTCTTTAATTATAACACTATAAACTTTTTTTCTTCTTTTATATCGTGGCAAAATAATTCAATTAATTTTAGTACATTCAAATTTAAATAACTAAATTAAAAAATATTTTTCGACATGTTGAAATGTAATAAAACTTATATAGTATGCATATAACGAATTGTAGGCGTACTAGTGAATATTTTACACAGAATTTTGGTTAATAATAACGGTACTGACCTGATTGAGTTAAGTACGCAGAGSCTTAGGTGTCGTGGGTGTTGGTAATTTATKCATTTGCTCCAGGAGCTCACGCCTTCTATAAGTATATTATAATGCTTTAAATCTTGTCGTTCTTATATACTTCGCTATTTAGCTTAACGACTATCAAAATCATTACACCAATACCTATTGTAGAAATTGTAAATCTCTTATAATATAGGGAGTAAAATATAATATGATTTATAGTGTGTTATATTGATTTATTTTCACACAATTTCTATAACCTCTTCCGTCTTATATAATAAATTTAAATACAATCAAAAATGGGCTTTCTTATTTTCTAAGAGTCAGTAGAAAAACAATTTTATTATTGATTCAATGCATGTAATAGGCTCAAGGTTCTTTTTAKTTCATTTTTTATAAATACATATTATATTATRTACAATAATGCTTATTATAATGATATAGTTTCTTTATAATGAAATGTTTTAGTCAAAAATATGCAATTTATAAACCATTTAATATTGTATTAATGAATACTTCAACAGAATATAAMATAATATAATATACGTATAGCGACCATTAATTTGTCGATTTTTCTGCTAATTAAAACAAATTTAACGTAAGCATTGGTGAATGTGTTGGTTTGATAAGTGTGTGTGTGTGTKCCATTTCTGTGTTTTACGAATTTAGTATGATTTATCATTTCTTGCAAATTTAATATCGCAAAAACTCAAATGTCACACACATTAATGTCACGACCTAACTCTTTTATCAGCATTTTTATTTATTTGTAAATATGATGCCAACATTTTTGTACTTATGCATGATACGCGTTTGTATAATAGTGATGATTCGATTCGTTGAAATAGTGGAAAGTAAATTTATTTTGTTAATTTATAAAACTATTATAAATGACGAGTTTTCCAAATTTATTAACCGCAGATATATGTATTGTAAAATATTATGTATAATAATAATAATAATAATAATATAGTCTTCTTGCAACGGTAGATTTATAGTTTATTTTTGTGCGCAGTATTATCTTATACAATTTATTTAAGTGTTTCTAAGTGAAATTTTGAACAATTTATTAATATGATATAAATTTTATACTTTGTGTAGATACGAAGTGTACATGGATGAAAACGGTGACGCGGAAGGAAATTATACATTGGTGTCACGGCAACGGCAATCTGACGCCTCCAAAGGATATGGCTTATTTCCAGCTGGTAGATTCGCTAAGCTCCGAAATTTAACCAAAAACCCGGTAAACGTCTTTATTTATTTCGTTACGTAATTGAAAACGAAAAAAAAAACGAAATGCATTATTTATATAGGAGTTGACGTTGGTGGTGAATGTCGAATGGATTTCTGGGAAACCGCCCGTGGCCGAACCAGCTTGCGGGTATCGCGGCCAGAAGTGCATCAGTAAATTACAAACATTATACACAATATTATTTATATATATTACTAATCACTGTTAATAGAATGAATTATCGATGATTACAACTCGCGATAGGGCCCAATAATAAATATTATTATAACATGGCAAATGCGTTATTTCTATATTAATCAGTTGGGCTATGAATTAAATTCACCTAAAAACGACCACTCGAAAATGTGTGAAGTATACACGAATTAGGTAAACATGATCTAAATATGTCAAAATATATAGAACCGTGTATTTCACCATATTAAAATAAAAACTAAATTCCATTTTTTTTTTCATGTAAAATTAATTATTTTTATGATTAATGATGACAATAACGAGATATTTCAAATAAACCATTGTTTAAACTTACAAACAATAATGAAAAAAAATACATTTTTATACACAAATAACTTTATTTTTTTGTCAATATATCGTTGTGGTATATTATATGTATTAAAAATATAACTTTTAAAATATGCAAAAATATGCTTAAATCAGAATATTCGAAGAAATGCTAATCAATATTTCGCATTAATATTAACATGCACTTGTATCTATATAACAACCAATAAAAATTTCTATCTAGATTTTAATTTCTTCTTCTAAATAAAAAATCAAAATAATGAAATAATCGCTTAGGTACCTAATAGTCTCACAGCTAGTTTTAACTACGTATAAAAGGTACAACCTGCAGCGGTTAGCGCCGATCTGTTTTTAAATCACTGTGGTGAGACAAAATGCCTATATTTACCCATTCACTTCAAAAATAATTTATTGTATTATAAAAATAATAACAAACACTCGAAACTTTTTTATCTACTGAGATTATATAAAATCTTCAATATAAAAAACGTATCACAATCATCCACACACCCACTCGATAAGAAAAAAAAAAAATGTTCCGGTGGATTTAAATCCTGCACACTCGGTAATGTAGGAGACCGGCGCCACTAAACATAACCATATTATAATAAAATTATATTATTATAGTTTAGTAGCGTACAATATCGTTAATACCTATAATACATTTTTAGCTCACACGGCAGAAATATTATCGATTGTGGCCGGCACGCTGCTGCTGGTGTTGGCCGTCATCTCGCTGGTGTTCTACAGGAATTGGAAATACGAACAGGAACTGGACAGCCTGCTGTGGAAGGTAGACTACAAGGATATCGAAATCAACGATACGGAGAATAGCAGCACTTCGTCGAAGATATCCAGAGTGAGCATCAGCGGGGAAAATGCCGCCAACGACATCGTCGTCACCGACGATCGTATTGCTTTGTGGGAAACCGATTTCGAAATTCAATGAAACATTTTTTTTTCTCTCTTTAGTTCTTACTTCGGGAACGCGTCCTTATAGTTTCYATTCCCTCGAGGGCAGGAAAAAATGTATAAATGGCATGGAATTCGTTTCAAATATTCTATATATATTATATACATCCCAGTAGAGATGATAGGTTGAGGTTCATTTGTTCGGATTACAAATCGGCCCTTTTTTATATATTATAGTGAATAATATTATTCTGTATTATAAGAATACAAGAAAAATAATGCTCTTGGATTAGGTTTTAGGCATTATATTATTCTAAAATTGTAATATGGTACATWTACTATACGATCAGAGTTCGTGTCGTTCGGGTATTATATCAATAATTGATCACTTCCACATATTAGATGCAKAAATTTATAATTGAGTAGTGTACTAGTATATAGAAATAGATACATTTTACATAATATTATTTGAAAAATGTTGGATATAAATTATTTTAAAAAACATTTGAATAACTGTTATGATTATTATTTATTATTTCTTTAATATAACTGATGTGTATCTAGTTTAAAGAATAAATAAGTATTGTATATCTTGGGGGGGGGGGGGTTAAACCCCACTTTTGCATCCTTTTTTTAGAGGGGAAACAAGTGTTAATTCCCATATTTTCACTTATAATCTTTGAATATAATCAATCCATTACCATGACTTAATATTGCTGACTAGAGTATGTTATACGCTGCATGGATCAATAGACATTTTTTTTTTACAATAATTAACATAATTAAAAGTGTTTGGGTTTACTTAATTATATTATTTAATAACACGATGCAAAAATTACTCAGCTTATTATTTGACGCTCATATTATCATATAAATTACTTTTTAAATATATTAATATAACTAATAATAAAAAATATTCGCTGTGTAGAGTTTTTTAATATATTATTTGATCGAAAATACTTTCTCCTATATAAATACAATTATMTTTTTATCGTCTACTATGATACACTAGAACACTGTATCTATATACTATACAGACATCAGTAAAAATTTAAAATTACATATAATTAATTGGGTTTTAATACTTATATAAGCTATTTATTTTTTTTTTAATTTAAATAAAATGTATAAATTGTTTGGTCATATTTTATCATTACGTTTGGAAAGAAAAAAATAAGTCATATGCTTAGATACATCTGTAACATTTTATTCAACATTCGTCCTATTGAACATTAAATTCAGATGTACATATATGTAAGACATATATTATTATCGTATGCATTATTCGGATTTAACGAACATAACAACGGAATAGCTTTCAATACTCTAAAATTAAATTACTTTCAATAAAACAAAAATAAATCAGTAATATTATCGTATTTGCTATAATAATATTATAATGGCCAACAAACTAGAGTGTTCTGACAGTGTTGTCTTATTCAAGCGTTTCTAAAATTAACTCGATTTGGATTTGTTCTCCGTTTATAAAGCATTGTATTATACGACGAGTATATACGGGATTTTTTTTTTATGTTTTTATTTATTGATTCTCTGGCCGAAGACCTGGGATATATATACGACATTCGGAATACAAATTGACGGCATTAGTCTATACAAATGTTATGATTTCTAAGTCGTTCAATTAAAAAACCACGTGATCTTCCGGAACGATCGGAATCGGTAATAAAAAATATAATGTATTATTGCGAAACACTTTGTCGATGAAAATATAAATAGCAGTTTGCGTGCTGCGACTTATTCGAATTTTGGACCGTATCCATAAAGTTTATGGGACCGTACGAAATTTCCTTTTGACCGTTATAATCGGYGGAGTTTACAATTAAGTGGTAAACCAAGAAAACCGCTCGGAATTATTAAGACGGCAGCCGATTGAAGGARTTTATTCCTTAATAAAATTAAAACATTCACTTAGCGTTATTATTCAAAGGTTTGTTCCGTGCAATGTTTCTTATACCTATCTCATATTATATCATATATTGTTATTGATAACAGTTAATTCATCGGTCGACAATATAAAATCGCTTCCACTGTACATCTAAACGCATGATAATTACAAGTTATTACTCATTATAATAATTACGATCAATCTGTTTACGTTAATGTTCACAAAAGTATTCCAATAATATCGTTATGGAATAAAATATTATAAGTGTAGTTGCACGAATCGTTGCAACGCCGAATAACATTTCTGCCATTTCTGGTCCATTAGATCGATCATCGTACGTCATTATCAGCATTTTAATCACTTTAAATCGTCTTCACAGCCAAGTGCCCCGGCACGGACGACTTAAATGGAYWWWAATGTGTTAGGCATGACCAATGAATTACTTACATACGCGCACCATAAGTGTATCCGCATCTCTCGCAAAGTCATTTTTTACTTTTTTATCAAAACATTTACAAATTTAATTGTTTTACATCATACAAGATACTGCATCATTATGTGGTAGGTAGGTATATAATAACTTTGTTGTGTTTTACGCTCGTTAAATGTMAGGMGTAATCTAGCGTAGGCACTTTCAACAAAATATGTACACAAGCAATAAGCTTTCTAAAATCAACCCTACGGAAGAACTTAACGGAAGTAGCCGTTAGATAGCAGCACGTTGTTCTTAATAATAAATTTAATTTCAAGCGTTAAACAATAATATTTTCATCACGTATTTTTAAGGCTTTGCATCCATTGATTCGGACTAGTCAAGTCTCTTTGAGCTCTAACCCGGATGCGGATTTTCGCTACTCATCAATATTCACCACAGTCGGCATTTATAAAGGTCGAGTGTTTGCCATAAAAAATGTGAAAAAGAAATCTATTGATATTACAAGAGCTATGAAAAAGGAACTTAAAGTGGTAAGTAATATTTGAATAAATAAATATTAATTTATATTACTGAAATTAAAAAAATACAAACATATGGTAAGACCATCATAATGCAGTTTTATTATTARCATAATATAAGGTGAAGATATTATAAATGATTTAGGGTTGATACCTACCTATTTGTTTCATTTAAATACTGGCCAGAAAATMTAGTACAAACTAGAATCATATTAATYATTAAAACAACATAAACTTAATATGAGTAGGTACACTGTATATATTATTATTTGTATGTASATACAAATTATTTATAATCAATAGTATTAGAATATAATATACTACAAAAAATGACCGTATGAATTACTTTACTTACCGTATATAGGTATAAATATTACACAGTACATTTTACTGCATTTTACGTTCTACAAAATAACTGATAACATTTTCTTACAAATTATGAGGTGATGAAAAATTATAATTTCAGATGAGGGATTTAAGACATGAAAACTTAAACGGATTCATTGGTGCTTGCACAGACCCCCCGAATATCTGTATAGTGACTGAGTATTGTAATCGAGGTAGCTTGAAGGTGAGTGAGTTAATATAAGTGAAACCTATYGGCTATTTAATTTTAAATTTATTTTAGGACATTTTAGAAAACGAAGATGTGAAATTGGATAACATGTTTGTCGCCTCATTGGTAGCCGATATAATTCGGGTAAATTATGGATTATCATTAATTTTGTATTCATTGTTACCTAACGAACACATTATTTGATGATTACCTAATGATTGTCCACAGGGTATGTTGTATTTACACGATTCCCCATTAAGGTACCATGGCAATTTGAAGTCGTCCAATTGTTTAGTGGATTCTCGTTGGGTACTGAAGCTCACAGACTTTGGTCTTCAAGAGTTTAAAAAAGACTCTGAAGACTTTCCACATCATTTTCTACAGCACGACTTTMGACTTCAAAAGGACGACGAAGTGGATTGCAAGTGTGAAGGTATAATATTGTGGATATGGTTATATACGTATTTAGAAAGTATATTATAAATTACCTATAATATAATATTATGTTACTACATTTTTTTTTCCATGTCATGGCTGTCGCTTCAATATCCCACATAGGTAACTACAAAATTGTAGACTGTTCAGGAAARCAAAAAAAATCAAATTTATTTTGTACCGAGAATAAAAGCCATTCAACTTTTTTCTCAGATTTATAAATAAAGAACATAATGTAGTTTGAAGATAATATAATTTATATTTGAAAATAACTAGTATTACAGAAAAATAATTTGGATACTAAATATTGTAAGATTCGCAGTTTATTAGTGTTGTTCAAACTCAAATGTTGTAGATTAATGTAATTTATATTTATTTTATTTGTATGAAATATATTGATCTTTATGACTATACTATATTAATGTAACACAGATACTAAAATATTATGACATAAACACTTAAATTATATTAGCAATTTAGCCAGATTTAAATATTCCTAGTGTATAGAGCACAGTCAAGATTCAATTAAATATTGTTCACTAATTAGTATTTATAATATTATGGGACATAATATTTTTAATGTCTGTCTATATCATGTTATTGTGATGTAAGCTATATAATATACAAATATTATTGAAATAAATAAAAATTACACCTATCTACTACTATTTATGTTTGGACATCACGTAGCTCAATCTTTCAATATACCTACAAATTGTAGGCTACAATAGTATCATCGTGGCTTGTTGAGGCGGGGTCGTACKCTCAATCTGCGGAAACGCACTGAGCGTACGTACCGGCCGCAGTTGCTAGCTCCCGGATGGGTGACCACYCGGGATTTTTAGCAACATATCCTTGCCACACATACACAAACACGTGTTACAACCCTACCAACTCAAAAACCTACAAACAAGTATACAAAAAATGACTCCTACCGTACCACCCCYACACCCAATRGTCTATGTTGCCGCGGGTTCCCCTCAAAAAATAAAAAAAATAGTATCATCATAATTTTTGTAAAGAAGCTCATAAGAATAGTAAAATTATTTTTTTAATTTTATCAGGAAGAATATATTTACAATCTATTTTTACAATAATCAGTAAGTATGAAGACAAAATTTTGTTTATATGACATTAATAATATTAGAAAAAGAAGGCCCTCAGTAGTGCCACCTGGCAAGAAAGTAAAATTATTATAACATAATCTTCAAACTACATTAAGTTTGTTTTATTTATTTGAATAATTATTTCTCAGAATCAAATTAGGTAATTATATTATAATTGTCTCTTGAGGTCAGTTTGAGATATTGTAGTCCTGTGGTATTGTAATGATAACCTTAATACATATTTCTGGATTATGATAAATTAATTACCATGAACAATTCAAATACCTATCCTTAAATATTTTACAAAATATATTCCTTTATAAATTCTCATAAAGCTTTCCTTTAGGACTTTTATACATCTCACCGGAGCTGTTGCGTTGCTACAACTCTTCTATTCAAATATCATTCGGAACTCAGAAAGGGGATGTGTATTCATTCTCTATTATTCTGTATGAATTGCATAGCCGTAAAGGTCCTTTTGGAGAGAACCACGGACTTGGGGTGTCAGATATTTTGAGAAAAATTATTTATTATTCACAAGACGGTTCGAATCCATTTAGGTAATATTTTATCTTTAATACTAACAAAGTAATAATAAACTTTATATTTTTATTTTATTCAAATAAAATAATRAAATAAATTTCCATACATTAATCAAACTAAACTTTTCATTTGTGTACAGGCCACCATTGGAACTACTTGAAAATAAYTTTGATTTTGTCAGAGACTGTTTAGAAGACTGTTGGGCAGAGAATCCAGACGATCGCCCAGATTTCAAGACTATCAGGGTTAAATTAAGACCTATGCGGAAAGGAATGTAAGTTAGTTGAATATAATTTTTTTTCTAATCATATAATATATGTATGTATATTGTATATGTTATATACTTAGTAAGTTTATATATTGTTTGGATAACTTTTTTTCCATAATTATTTATCAGTTTATCACAGTAAATAAATTAGATAAACAACATWAMATATTTATTTTATSTTACAAACACTGAAATACCTACACTTTAGGAGACCAAATATTTTTGACAATATGATGGCAATGATGGAAAAATATGCCAATAATTTAGAGGTATTAGTTGACGAACGAACTGACCAGCTGGTGGAGGAAAAGAAAAAAACAGGTAAAATAATATTAAGTTTTTAAAAATGCATTTCACTCGTTGCGTTTTATACGACAGATGCACTGTTGTACGAAATGTTGCCGAAGTACGTAGCTGAGCAACTAAAAAGAGGACACAAAGTGCAAGCAGAAAATTTCGATTGCGTGACGATTTATTTCAGTGACATTGTTGGTTTTACATCAATGTCTGCAGAAAGCACTCCTTTTCAAGTATCTATATACGTTTCACTGCGGTGTCATTGGCTGAGCAGAATGTGCTCAACTTTCTTGTGTATTTTTTTTTTAGGTGGTTGATTTTTTGAACGACCTATATACGTGCTTTGATTCGATAATAGAGAATTACGATGTTTACAAAGTAGAAACAATCGGAGACGCGTATATGGTGGTAAGAATTTAAATTTTCCCATACCTGTCGATTCACACGTATTTTATTATTTTTATATTGTTAAACAATTTTAATTTTTAGGTTAGTGGTTTGCCTATTAAAAACGGTGACATGCATGCCGCAGAAATCGCTACTATGTCATTACATTTGCTCGAAGCTGTGAAAAAGTTTCAAATTAGGCATAGACCGTACGACAGTCTTAGACTCAGAATTGGGATTCATTCCGGTTAGAACAATAGTATATCATAATAAAATGTTTACGTTAAAAATGTATTTTATTTTATTTTCAAAGAGGCTAAACTTAAAAAAAAAATTGTTTTAAAAGTACGAATATCCATCTATTGTTTTTAACCACTATGGATTTTTTTATTATTTACTCGTAATACGAATAATGAATTTATTGTTTTTTAAGCTTGTACCGCTTGACAAAAGTTGTCGATTATTACGTTAGCTAAGATTTGTTTCGTTTATGACTGTATTAATATTAGTTATAAGGTTATAACATTTAAGTTTTAAATTAGTGAAACCATTATGATTGTGTTTTTACTGTGTAGAAATATTATATTAGGTAACCTATTGACATAATTTAATTTTCTGTTTAATTATCAAGGTCCAGTCTGTGCCGGAGTTGTTGGTTTAAAAATGCCTAGATATTGTTTGTTCGGCGATACAGTAAATACGACCAGTAGAATGGAATCCACCGGACAAGGTAAATGCTTTTAATTTATTATTATTGTTTTTTTTTAACTTACTTTAAGAGGACGTTACACACATTTGTTGTCTTCATCTTACAAGTGCGTAACATAACAAACTTACGCTTAGCAGATCACATTTAGTTCCGTTAGTTTAGAGAAAATATACCTATTATGAAACTTGATGGTAAGAACATTATCTGTGTTTGTATGTGGGTTTTTATGATAACTTAGTTTTTAAGTGAATTATGAGAATTTTTAATTTTCGATTTATTTTTTATATACACGTAACTTGCTACAAAATTTAACTACCTATCGTAGAAAACTCGCATGCAAACACAGATAATGTTCTTAACATCAAATTTAATAATAGGTTGATTCACTCTAAGTTTTAAACTAACGGAGCTAAACATGATCTGCTAAGGGTAAATTTGCAATGTTTTGCACTTGTAAGACAACAAATGGTTGTGAAGTGAACTCTTAATAAGAATAACTTTCAGCTGTCCCGTGGTAAGTATTCCCTGAATAGCAGCGCACGTCATAAGTTGAACCCAAAAGACAGCTGCTGTTCAAAGAATTTTTTTTTCCTTGCGCGTATCACTTGCCTACTTTCTATTACATTACAACATACTTAGATAGTTTTATTTCTAATACTTTTTAGTATTAATTATTCTTAAGTTTTTTTTTCATACTGTATTATACTCTTTTAAACGATTATTCATTTTCAAAAAATTAAAATAATTTCTATAATGTACCAATATTTTTTATTTATTAAAACACTACTTAATTTAATACTTAGGTATATCGTAKAACTCTAAAATAGTTTTACTAGAGAGAGCTAAATACCTTAATTCAGAATTGTATTAACGGCGTTAATTATTTTTTTCGTTGTCAACGAGAATATTATAAATAATTAAATACATACTCTTATATTATTTGTAATTTAACTATAGATAATTTGATAATACAATATGTATTATCTATGCATATATATTTACGTATAATACCATATGATTTTCGAGCAAAAATTTGGACCTTGGGGTTTCAATGTAACGTACCTACCTTATATTGAATATAATATTAAAACATTGTTACCTAAACGCTCTCGGTTTTCAGCTTTGAAAATTCACTGCTCCAACGAATGCCGTACTCTGTTAGAACGTCTGGGTGGTTATCAAACCACCGAACGGGGAATGGTCGAGATGAAGGGTAAAGGCAATGTGCGCACATATTGGCTAGTGGGTGAGGACCACTTGCACCGGTTAAAGAGAGATGAGTTCAGGGCCCAGCGCCGGGAACAGCAAACAGGAAGCAAGCACCGCAAGTCGTCCAGACATCAGAAGAGTGTGAAGGATGGACCTCGAAGCTCGTTAAAGGTCCCGAAAACGACGATGAACGGACAGTTGTCCAGGTACGTTACGTTATACGTTGCAAGTTTTTACTTATCAAATTTTTTAAGGTTACCTATTTTAATATTGTTATAATAATACTACGGTGATCATATATTTATACTCGAGATATCATACCTACCTAATTTGCCTTAAAGATTTGAAAACTTAATTTTCAAATTTTGAATTTATAGTAAGTATTCTCTATCACTATAAAAACAAATCTTAGGTTAAAAAAGGTTGATAGGTGGTAAAGTTTGTTATTGTTTATTAGGTATCTAGATTTTTTTGTTCAGTCACATACTATTCAAATATTTTCAGTCCGTAATTTGTTATTTCTATTATATTAATATTAAAAAATATGACTTTATGAATCTATTTACATAACACTGACAACTGTCTTGAACAATAAATACGTGCCACTGGAATTGTGTGGTGACAACTGTTGTAAGCGTAAAAATAGACAATAAACCGTTAGCAAGACGCATAGTAACTTTAATATATTTTCTAGTATTTATGGTATTTATGGTATTAGTTTTTATGTTTATGATTTTACGCTATAAATTATAACATAATTATGAAAATAAAATGGTATTTGACGCAAAGGTCACGCATATGGTCGAGTATCATTATTATTATTATATTATTATTTAATTTACATTATTTATGTATTTGGTGCGGAGAGAGACGAACGAGTTTATATTATAAAATATAATATTACCAACATTCGACTAGCGAAAATATGATCGAGTGAAATCGATATGAACTTTTAATATAGTTTCGGTTAAGGTTTTAACATGAAATGCACCTACTGTAATAATATTTACTCGTACAGGGATTTCCTGAAAATATAAGATTACGAGATTTTAACCTAAAACATTTTGACGTTGACTGTCTTAAAAAACCACAGATTTACACTCGAATCAACTACACACAGACGCCATTAACAAATTCATCAATCATTCTGTTTGCGTTATTGTATTATTATTATTCAATACGAACCCTTCACATAACGCACATGTTGGGTGATTTACTAACTATCATGATCGTAAATATTTAATGGTGTAGCTGGTTGTTAAGTTGTAGTGTTTCGATTACTCTATTATAATATAGTAGACTATAATGTTCTGAGTTGTACTTACTTATAGTATAACAATAACATTAAGGAGATTAATTGTTTAACTTAAAACTTTTTGAAAGACGAATAAAGTATCTTATGAGAGCAATATTGTATTAAACGAATGATTAAAATTTGAATGGGTGTTTTGAAAGTGTATACTGCAGTTGACGAAATTATAATATTCTAAGTATCTAAGAGTTAATTAAAAAATTATAACTTATTTAGAATTGTAGATAAAGTTGCTGCGGATAAAGTTCATATGAAAAACTTTACATTTTATGCATACGATTTCATCTTAGGTAAAACAAATAAAACAAGTAAAATATATAGTTCGTATTTTGTATTACAGATTACATTATAACAGTTTTCGAAAATTCATAAATTCAACACCATTTATATTTTGAAAGTTAATTTGTGTTCAACAGGTGTAAAGCGATAAGGGTTTTGTTTAGTGTCACAAAACGCATTAACGTTTTCCATTCAAGTGTACACAATTTTTGAACAAAAAAAAAGAATGAATAATTTTATCATTCAACGTTCATCGTAAATAATCATTTTTCCCCAAACATTTGTATTATACTCGTAATTTGTTCCATTTACCTGTTAAATGAATAATTTATTAGTTTTTAACAAACCCTGTACAATATACTAATAGACGTATAAAATTATTAAAAAACTAACTCCATCAGTATAGAACATTAATAATTGTACTGAACAATAAAAGTTGAGGAGTTTGAATCAAGTTATATTACGTATATTATCTGCGTTTAATTTGAATAACCTTCACCAATAATCAATATACGCATTTTACAGAGAGCTTTATTTATTTTGTTATGAAGCTTACGTTTCCATATTAATATACCTGCCTGCCTAGTATAAAAATGATCTGATTTTTCAATAGGCTGTTGGGATTTTTTTTATACAGTGGCTTAGTCTCTATAAGCTATTGTGGACCAATAAAACATCAAAAACATATTTTTGACAGAGCCATATTATAAGAAATGGACTGTGTGTGTTCCATATCATGGCTTTAAGTTGCCAAGTGCCAACATTGCAAGAAAGAGATATTAAATAGCATATGACATATGATGGGACCTAAAGTGTACCAAGCAAAATTTTTCTAATAAACTTATGTTATATGTTATCTTTGTTGTCAAACTTCATACTGTCTCTTACTATTTATGGATATATATATATCGTTTAAGTGGTGTGCTATCTTTTTCTAACTTTATCGACCTTCCCTGGCCTCTCTCTCTCTGCTATCTGCAGTCCATTAATACATTTTTTATAGATCTATGATTTGTATTGGTTATTTTCATATCGATGACTTTATATGTAATCTACTCGGTGTGCTGCAGATGCTGCAGTTTGGAGTCACCGAAAAAGTTGAGGTTCGCGATGCACCACGACGATGGCACGCCGGTCAGGCGACGGCCGTCAGGTGTTGCCGAAGAAGAGGACGAATATTGCTGCGATCGGCACTTAAGCGTGTCGTGCCCGTGCATAGATCATTTCGACCAGGACCCRAYGGCGGCTGGCAAAAGGCCGACCAACTGCGGAGCGTTGTTGCAGGCTCCGGTGGTCAGGGTCCCTGGTTTCCCGCGAGTCAATTCGGCGCCGGTCACGCCGATGGCGGCCGACTGTCTGGAGATGACGGCCGTGTCATCGCTTTCCGCCATGGATGATGTCAACGAACCGCTGATCAAGTCGGACGAATACTGTAAGGACGGCGCTATAACGTTCGTGTGACCCACGTGGCGACCGTTTCGGCTCGGGAATGATGGGAAGGTGGGAGGGGGTGAGTCCCTTCTCCATTCCTGATCACCGGCACAATGACGGTCTGCGGAGGTGGTGAAAGCGTCGTCCGATCAGATGAGGACGATGCGTTTTAGAGGATTCGTTCACTGGACTTTCGCATTCAAAGATTTACTTCTAGGGAACTGCGCAGGACTGTAAAATTGTGTGGTCGAGAGATTGAAGAGAAACTTCCGCCGATCACCGAATGGTTGTAATTTAATGACACAATTATGCTATGTTTCCTTCTATAGATTTGTCATCCCCTCGTCCCGTCCTCCCGAAACTAGTGTTCGGGTGACACCATAAATCATTTTATTGTTGTAATAATAGCGTCGTCGCGATATTGTCCCTATTTACTCATTAATTCCGTGCCCCCTCCCCGCGATGACTGTGAGATGTTACTACGACGGTAATCATTTGATTGTTATTATATATGCGCATCGAGTCGGTGGATACCGACCGCGATAATACTCTACGGTATTGCGCCGTCGTCAACAATGTCGTTTTAATACATTACATTTTCGTCGTCATTATTATATATTATTATAATAATTACTCTATCGGTTTTGACGCGATCCGACCGCAAACGTAGGTATACTCTGCCCGCAGAGAATGAGGCGAACGTAAAACGATTTTCCATATCAGAATTCGTCARTTTTGGCCGATATGCACGGTTAGCTATACGCATTATATATACGTCATTACAACTCACGAACACTTTTACGTCTCAATACACATTATGGTATGGAAATGTTCATAAGCTTTAACGTTATGTTATATTTTATCTAGAATTTTACGCGCCCTGTAACATTCCAAACATTTATATTATATTATTATATTATATATATATATATTTTAAATTGTATTCAAATAGTTACGATTTTTGTTATATTTAGTAAAATACATATGATAAATATGTACATAATTTTTAAATTGTTACTTAGTGCATATTAATTGTTTGTGTGTGGTGGACATTTTTTAAAAATTGTTCAGTCAAATTTATTACGCAATCAACCGAGATCAGTACACTTTAAGTAGGTATCTATAGCCTATAGGTAATAATAATATTGATAATTTGTTTATCTTCGTCGTCTATTATTATACTATAATATGATTGTTTATCATAGARGACAAAAATTATAATTAAACTGTCCAAAAATTAATATAATTCTCTTAATATTTGATACAAAATAAAAATATATATCGTACACGTACTTAAATATTGATATTTTTTTTTCATGTATTGAATATATTATTGCCTTGGGATGTTCACTCGTGAATTGCTCGCGTCTGTGATATTTGATCAGTGTTATTTATAGATCTTCCAAGTCTGCGGACTGTGAATCTCACTGTTTGAAGTGTGTTGCGCCGTAAACGTCTAAACAGGAATGTATTATAAAGGTAAGCATAATACACCAACCATCWTATTWAGATCATAATGKCATATATTTATGTGTGCACGTGTATTATAATATGATTTCTCAGAGTGTTATATCTAAAGTCACGAGGTGTGTATGATGATATTTTCTGTTTTGTCAATACTGCTCGAAGTAAGAATTATATAATATTCTACGAAACGTCAACAGAATATTATGCATCGGGCAAAATGAGTATAATAAACGTATAGAATTTTTATTATTCTTAACAGGACACATCATTATAATAAAAGTGTCCGAAAAAAACAGAAATATTATTTAGATTTAAAAAAAAAAAGGTCCAAAAACATGTACATTGTACATTATTAAACCAYCCCGCCGCCGCCGAATATTTAAAATGTTTGCATCATGCGTTAATTTAATAATGTCTAGAAGTCGGTGCGTTTCAACGAAATCGAGTAACATGAAATTAAATCCACTGTACACTGTTTAAACTTTAATGGGCATTACTAATATAATATGCACCGACGACGTTCATTTAAGTAATTTATTATGCACACTCACCACCTACCTATATAGATAGTTATAAGATGTAACAGACGAATACGTATATATATTATATATATATTTATTTTACAGTTTTCTTAAAGTAAAACTGTTTTGTCAGCTGCAGTTTACGAGTTTCGATTATTCCATCGYGATGATATTATTATGCGTATGCAATACCTATATGTATAGCAATATGTACATGTAAATATTACAACTGAAACACTGCAATTTCTAGTAAACAATATTGTTTTGAGCATATTTGATTCGACACGACTAACGTTTTTTATTTCAGCAAAATATAAAAATAATAATATGTTATGATCTTGATGTCGTGTTTGGATAGCCTATGCTTACAAATATCATGATGTGTTGTTTTTATTGTGTGAAGAGTCAACAGCGCACTTCGATTCGTGTTAACAGTAGGTATACAGAGATTGAAAATATCAATTCATCTGTATACAATGTATATACATATTATTGCACATCGAAACCGGCCCAGACGATATTAGAGACGTGCGAGGAATAAGTACGAAATATGAAGACAATACTGTAATACATTATAGGTACATACTTCATTCATATATATAGAAAAATAATCTTCCTATTGAGATGAAATCCAGAATTCTTCATTAATCACTTACGAACATCAACTCGTAAACAATCTTATATACGTTATACATATATAAATAGGTGCCCAATAACATTTAAAAAAATATTTTCATTTTCCCAAAATGTAATATAATCGGTTGARGGCGTTAAGGCTAGTTTATTTCATTGTAAAAAGTATAAAAGGACATGTACCAGTTGCCCCTAAAAGTACCTTTTTTTATACCAATTCCCCCCAAACTACTTAGAACAAAATGTACCAGTTGCCCTCAATCAAATGTACCAGTTGCCCTCAATCAAATGTACCAGTTACCCTCACATGTTAATATATACACGATTACAATATATAGCCTGTAAAATAGGGGAGGTAAATATACAAATAATAAATAAAATGATTTATAAAAATAATGTAAAATAGTATAAAATGATAAAATCAAATTTTGATATTTACAATTATATATGATATTGTATTTTGTAATAAATAATAAATATAATTTATTATACAAATAGTATGGATAAAATTAAAATTGTATTAATAATAATAGCCTACTATACTAGGTGCAAAGTCAGGATTTTACAAAAACGCGTAAATTTTGACGCGTATAAGTGGATAGCCGATCTACATAATTATGCCACATAATTATAATATTTATTATTTTATTAACTTTTTCATATTATTTTGTTAGTAATTATTAAAAGCATGAATATTTTCTATAATTTTATACAAATTATCACATATTTTAATATGCCACTTATTATTGTAACTATATTATTTATTATAATTTTTTTATTTCTATCGTTTTATACTATTTTACATTATTTTTATAAATAAATATATTCATTATTTGTATATTTATCTTCCCTATTGGCTATTTTACAGGCTTGTAATCGTGTATAATATATTAACATGTGATGGCAACTGGTACATTTGGTCGAGGGCAACTGGTATATCTTAAAAATCCCGATAACAGCCGTGGGGGGCAACTGGTAAACACCCGTATAAAACATACCTAAACAGAAGATGAAAATGGTATATTATTACAATATTTTTATACCTGGTAAAAARGCTTCAATTACTAAAGTTCTTAGCCTAATCGAACTATAATCAGAAATAAATATTGACATATCTACATTATACATTTATACATAAACGATATTTGTCTATGGGGCTAGGTCAATTGAGTCCGAGATAAGTTTGATACATTTTGAAAGTGGTAAATCGAGTCCCGGAAAAACAGGTAGTAGGTAGGTTGAGTCCCGTAAAAAAATTGGTAATAAGTAAATATTTTGACTTACATTGATTAAAAATATTAAACATATAAATCAATAAAAAAAATAAAAAATAAATGTCATTATTATTATATTATATAATATATATACATATATCTATATTATGTACTTGGTAATCAACTTCATTGATATTGATTTAATAAACTCAAATCGGGTAATAACATTACTCGATTGTACTCATTATACTGGTGTATATTTGGTAATTTGCTCATTTAGGTTTTGTTCCTTATCGAAGGTACAATGCTAAAAAGTTATCGGCTTATATTGACTGTGATTGATTTGGTATTGTTAAGAGTGTATCGTTATTTTCTCCTTGTGGAAAAAAATAATTATATAATTCATATAAATGCATGTTGCTATTTTAAAAATCATATGCATGCTGCAGTCAATGAATGTCCACAAATCACAAATAAAAATTTTATAGTGCATATTTTTAAATTTTAAATGCATATAAATCGTTTTTCCCTGGGACTCAAATTACCTACTACCTTATTTTTTCCGGGACTCAACTTACCTGTTATCTATTTTTCCCCGGGACTCAATTTACCGAGTTAGGGTCATTTGGGACTCAATTTACCAATCCTGTTGTCTATACGTCATATTATGATAACACGTTTGAGGATATTTTCAATTATTCATGTTTTAATATTATTACAATAMTATAGGTAAATATCCCACTGAAATGTTTGTAACATTAAATACAGAAAGATATTTCGGTAAATATATAAATTTCTCTGGATGCTTATGATTTTTTTTTGTGAAATATGCCTTCTACAGGTTTTGTTGTAATTAGTTTTTAAATTACTTTTTTCACAGCTTAGGTACAACGCTCTGAATAAATTACGTAAAATAAATGAAAAATGTTAGTGGAATTGCATTTTGCGGAAGTTTGTGTACTATTTCGTATAATATTATGAAACTGGTAAGTATCGTTTACGTTAAACATTTCCACAACGGTCTTACGGCCAAGTAAACTGAACATTATGAATTTCACAAAAAATGTATAATGTATTTGTTATTTTATATCGTTGTTGTTATTTTTTCGTCTTCCATCGATGTGCAATGTATCATTTCCATTCGCAAGTCGTCGTTTGTATTTTAACAAACACAATATTTTTATCGGTATAATATTGATGACTTTGAAACGTATCGAATTCAGTGCTTTGCCGGTGACGGTCCGGGACGATATTATATATTGCTGAAACTTTTCATTTAATTGCGAAACTTTACGATCTGGTGCYTTCTGTGGAATGCCTGCAGATATTATTATATTATAATGTATATAGTATCACAATTGCGTGATGATGTATACRATGATTGCGAACAAATAAACTAGACACAATCAACAATGAGATCGTCTCAATTTCATTTTTGCCATCACAGAGTTAGGGTTTTCTAACATATTTTAATTAAAGTTCCGTGAGTGGACTCACCACTATATTACATTTGATTAGTATGGTTGCCTGACACAGATGAACTCATTTTGTAATGAGTGTAATAATTATCACATAGCTCGGCAGTTATTGAAATATATTTCAAACTCTGGAAAACAATACGATATACCTAATAAATTAAAATAATATATTATGKTTRTTTATTAAAAATATGCAGGTTAGGTTGTAAACGTCGAGTTACTCTAATTTTTAATTGTTTAATATATTTATATACTATTATTATTGTTCTTCTTGTACTATGTAATTTATTTCAGGTGCATAGATCCGAAGGGTTTTTTATTGAATCGAAATAAATTTAAAAATAATTTTTCTTTTCACTCGTTACCGATAAATTATAATTTTGATATCATATTAGGTTGGGTACACTTTTAATTCATTTTTGTTTTATTTAATATTACCTGCGCAGCAACGGTAAACGTAAGAATCTTAAGAAATCAATGGCAGCTGCGTACCTATATAAAGTCAAAAATAAACAAAATGTGTAACGGAAAATAGTTGCAATGCAACATTCCGATAATGATAATAAAAATATGTATAATTGAAAACGAGTTAAGCTGTTTAATTTGGATCGCTATCAATTCCTGTAAAA